GGGATAGAAGTAGAGATAGAAGAAGAGGTAGAAGCAGGTCCTCACATAGAAGATAAAGATATTAAATTTTAATTTTTATTATATTTTTAATCGTATATTTTATTAGTTTAATATTAAATATTATAAAATAAATATTTACATACAAAAAATTATATTGTTTTTATTCTTATAAATTGTTTAAATGCCGAAACTCTAATTAAATCATATAGAAAGTATTGCCGAAACGCCAAAACAGTTTCGGCAAGTTACGGCAGTTTCACGATTTTGATAGGTTTCGCAGTTTCGGCATTTCTTGATGATTTTGCGAAACTAGTTTGCAAATTCTAGTTTTGGCAAGCAACCTTAATTGTCACTAATACTCTTTTAATTATTTGGTCTGAATTCGCAGATTCTGGTTGAGATTTCTGTAATATATTTTCAGAAATATTTTGTGATTTCCTTGATGAATCACTATAATTAATTTTCTTTACTTTTTTATGTAAATTGTGTTTATGAGGCCTAATAATTATTGGTTCATTGCTTGTTTCATCTGATTCTGAATCATCTGAAATTTTATTTTCTTCTTCTGACTCATCAGACAGATTTTCTTTCATATTTTCTAATAAAAAACATTAGGTAAATTTATTATATATTAAAAAAAATCTAAATATATAAAATTAACTTACCACTATCATCAATAATAGTAATATTATCAAGATTGATATCATTTAAATCTTCAATTTCAGTATCGTAATTTTCTTTTAATTTGGTCTTATAAATTAGTTTTAATGTTTCAACAATTGGTAATATTGATGAAATTGTTACATATTCAACTCCACTAAAATAAGTTGTCATTTCATCAAATGGTTTAAAAAGCTTGCATAGTTCTTTTAAGAAAATCCATTCTTCTTCACAAAGCATAATTTTTTGCAATCGTTCTCCATCAATTTTATTACTTCTATCATCCTCAAGATGTAAAGTTGCATTTAGACGAATAATTGGCTTTTTTAATTTAATTAACCGTTTTCATGAATTATATTTAGAATTCCAATGTGTTGGTACTTCATTAATATTTTTAAGTATATTTGTAGTTAAATTTTCAAGTGGTTCATCATTAGAATCATTATCTAAAGTTTGGCTTTTTTTATTTAAATCATTTTGTACTTCTTGAAGTCATTCAGATTGTTTTGGTGATTGAAAAAACTTGACTAGCTTTCTATAATGTTTAACTTGTTTACTAATTGACTTTAAAGTATTAATAACTGTTAACTGTAACGTATGTGCTACACATGGTAACCTTTGTATCTTATCATTCTTTTGATTTAAAATATTAACAGCTGCTTTCATATTACTACCATTATCTGTTACCACACAGATAATCTTATTCTCTAAACGATATTCTTCTATATATTTTTCCAAATATTTAGATATAACTACTGCTGTATGTGGATATTGTATGCTTTCAATGGTAATTAGCATATCATAAGGCTTAAAATTTTCATCTACCTAATGTCCAGTAATTCCAATATATCCTGCTTTACTTCTTGCCATCCATAGGTCTGTTGTAATTGAAATAAATTCACAAGTACTAATTATTAATGATAACAATTCTTTAATTCCAAGTTTGTATACATCTGTAATTAAAGTTTTGATCATTTTATCATAAGGGATAGAATATGATGGATCTAATCCTAGAAGAAGTTTTCTAAATCTATTACTTTTTAAGATATGAAAAGGTTGGGAATCAGTGATAATAAATTCAAGCAATAATATATTTAATTTATGTTGATGTGATTTTCCATGAGATTTTGCTTTACCAAATATTGAGTCAATTTTCGCTTGTTGTACTTTTGGTTCCTGATAATGTAAAGTATCACAATTAATTTATTTTATTATTTATAATAAATAAAAAATTTAAATACTACCTCTTGTTCTTCTCCTTCAGTTATATTATGCAATGAATTTAGGTGATATTTCATATTTAACGTAAAACTAAGATATTTATAAGTTGCGTTACATGGTTCTTCTTTCCCATTTTTTGTTATAGACATTATACATCGTACTTTTCCATCATCAATTCTTTCAAAATACTTCCATACAAAGCTCTTTTCGGACTTAGATAATTTTAACTTTTTCACTTGCTGCTGTTGACTATTAAATGATGATCTTTTAGAAGTTGTAGTGGAAGATGCAAACTTTGATGACCCAGATAAAGATTCTTCAATATCTTCAATATTCCTATAGTCAATATATTCAGAAAAATCATCATTTGGTTCATTATCATCCATATTAAATAGCCACTTTATAAAGATGTAATATAAAATAAAGGTTTATTTTAAAACAATATTTATTATTATTATTATTATTAAAAACAATTTATAGTTTTAAAACAATATTTAAAATAATAATTTTTTTTTACGAAGTCAATCTAACTAAATATATTTAAAAAAATCTATTTTGAGATAATCTATATTTTTAATCGATTAATCGATTTTTGAGGTATCTTAATTGATTAACCTTAATCGATTCCAACCTCTAGTTTTAATTTAAGCAGATTTTTGATAGTTGCTTCTAATGATTCTTTAATATTATCCTTGAGATTTCCTTTGAGCCATTTGGATAATTTAGTCATTGTAAAAAATATTGCATGAATGTCAAATGTGGCAATTCTTGACATGTAATTTTATACAAGATTTCAGGTGACTATTTAAAGAAATCTAATTGGTATATCTAAGGTTCTGCATTATAATAATAATCTGATATAATGACTATTTTTAAATTATCCAGTTTACTTAGCAGTTTAAAATGAGGGAAGTAAGAAATTTGATGAAAATATTCATCAAAAATCTTCAGCAATTCTGTTTCTCTGACTTCCTTCAAAATATCTTATATAAAATCCAATTGATATTTGAAGAGACCGAGATCAATATAATGCATATAATCTGGAATGCAAGCTTTATAAATATTTAAATTTCTGTGAATTTATTAATCAAGTTTTAGTTTAATAAATTTAAAATCTGTAAATTAATATTAATAACACATTGATCAATTTAGTATTAATTTAGCTTATGAAACAGTATATTGATTAATTTAATGTTGTTTACTAAAAATTGCCAATTTTTTGAAATATTTTTATAGACCTAGATAAAGATTGTGCAATTATTTTGTAAGATTTTTAAAATATATCAAGATATTTTTGAGGTATTTTTGAAATTAAAATATTAAAATAATATCAAAGTTAATTATATTATAATAATAAAATAATAATAAAAGCATTATGATATTATTTTGAATTATTTTTATAAACCTAGATACAATACAATTACAAAATAATAACAAAAGTATAATAAAACCATTTTAATGTTTTAGTAGTATTTTAAATTATTACAAAAAAAATTGGCCATTTTTAGTAAAGTAGCACCTTGTTCAGTATTGCAAATTTTAAGCCTTACAACTGAAGACTTCCTCTTTTTGTTACTATAAACAGGAAGAGGAAGCAGTAATAAAACTCTCTCCCTATATATACCAATTGGCCTCTACCTGTTTACAAAGGAGGGCAAAAAAAATTTGAAGTACATTCTTATTGGTTTATACTGTCAGTAAGTCTATAACGAAAACCATTTTCAACATCTCAGTCATAAAGATACGTGCCATCCTCAACTGAAGTAGTGATGGTTAAAGTAGACATGACATTATTTAATCCAAGGAGAATTTGAATTTAATCCGTCATCTACATTTCTTACATTGGCATCAATAATTAATCTCGATTCTGATTTTATACAAGTACCAATATCTTCTGACCGTAAGGTTTCATTCTCAAAACCGACATGTAAATGTTAACGTTCTTAATTAAATTTCTTTCTTCATCATCGAAAACTCTGTTGCATTCGAGATTTTCTCTGTTACTCAGTGGAATTGAACTGAAATTATTAAATCAAAAGCATTTAATGTTAATTATACAATATAAATTCGCAGCAGAAAGTTTGTGAGAGCTCTTATATGAAAATGGTGAAGGAACTAGTTATTGGTAGCCATAAAGCAGCAGAAATTGGAAGTAAATATGCGAAATGGCCATGTTAGTATTAATCTGCACCGGAAAGTGAGGAATAAAAGGTTCCGATTTGACACTAGTGTTATTATTGTTCTGTATTCTCTGACCTGAGAAAGAAACATTTATCAAACTTATACGGCCAGTTGACCAGAAACCCAACATTGTTGCAACTAGATTTCTCTAGAATAAAAGAAAGAAATGGTTAAGACGGATTAAGTAAGAAGGCGCAAATTATCCCGCTGATCTGGATTGACTGTTAATCGCTTCCATCTTTCATATTGTTATAGAAAATTCCTTCTCTATAAAATAAAATAAAATAGTCATAGTCATAATTTTCAACAATGAAATCCACAAAATCCTCCTCTGCTACTACCAATCAACTTGAAAAATCTTCCAAGTTATTAAATTTACTTCGAAGAGTTAATACCGTAAACAAATCCACTTCGATTTCCAATAATGAAATTCAAAATAAAAAAATGAAAATGCCATTAACAAAAAAAGGCATTAAAAAATTCAAGGATAAATTAAAATATACACAAAAACTTAAACAACTTGAATTAAAAAAACAATTATTAAAAGAGAAGGAAAAAGAACAAGCAGGTCAGCAACTATTTCGATTTTATATATTTAAATAATAAATATATCATAATTTATCGAACTTTGTGATTTTTTGTAGATAAAGAGAAAGCGAAGCAAACTAATTTCGAAAAAAATTTACAATATTTTACTTTTTCAACGAAAAAAGTAAATCAATGATTGTGTTCAAGAAATAATTTTCAAACTTTTACGCATGCTCAATTAGATTTAATAAAATCATTTTAAAGAATGTAAATGAGAAATGTTTTAATGTTTATTGCTTGTATATGAAAATATATATATATTATATATATAAAAAATAATTATATATTATAGTTCATTTCAATAAGTATATTATATAAAAGAAACAAAGCCTACTTTTTCAATCGTGAATAACCTCGAATGAATATAAAAAAGTGAGAAATGCTAAAACGAAAGAAATGCTTTATCTAATACTAATGCTAAAAAAAATAAAAATAAATTAACGTGATTCTCTTTCTTCAGCTTTCTTGATAGTTTCGTACAATACACTAATAGAGCTTGGAGCTTTATCAGTTTTACCGGATAAAATTTCCTCGGAGGAAATTTCTTTATTATAGAAGGTCTTGTTTGCATCCTTACGTTCAATAATTATTGTTCCTTCAACTGATACGCCCGCAAAGAGGCCTTTTGATTTACTATATGAAAAGAGAGCTGCACCTTCATATAAAGAACCAGAGTATTCATGACCAAACCCAACAGGACCTGCTGAAACCGATAGGTTTCCTCCTAAGGTAACATTTTCTCCACGGCAAAAAGCTTTAACAGCATCATCGGTGTTAAGAACAATAACAAAATCAGTTACATCGGCACCTAGCTGTGCACCAAATCCAACACCACCGATATTAATCAATGATGGACAAGACCAGCCTCCCTCGGGGATTCTTTAGGGAAAGAAAAAAATATTTAGATCATGAACCGCGCAAAAAATTAGAATACGCGATGAAAATTACAAATAATACAAATAACTTACTTTGCAACTACTAAGCCCGAACCCATACGGCCAGACCAAAAAAAGCCTGCTTTGATTGCAGTAAAGATAGCTAATCCTTTAGCATTGCATATGACATCTTTTGGAATTACATTATCCAATCCACCTTCAGTCTTTTCGGGATCAGTAAAACTAGACAAAATTTTATCAGCCTTTAAAACCTGCGAAACAAAGTCGGCAGGCAAAGGAGAGTTCACATTATTGTTCGTTGCAGTTTTTTGAATATCGTTCGTGACCTCAGTTGCAATACTTCTGGCCCTTTCTACACCATAATCGACTTTAGATGATACGCCTGGGAATTTTTCTTTTAACTCTGTGAAAATTTCGGACACTTTTGCTGTTACATTTGCAGTAGTTGTTTGTGCGGTAGAAGCAGTCGTATTAGCAGTTTCGGTAGTTGAAGCCATTTGAAAATTATTTTTTTTTTAACGGGTTATTAATATCTTTACTGTTAAAAAGATTTTCTTGGTTTTTTGAATTCCTGGGAAAATTTTTTTATTGTGAAAGGGAAAAAGGACGACTATTTATATTTGATATTCTATTATAGTATATCACCTCATCCCAAAAAAGTAATAAAGTACGTCATGTTTGTGGAAATTTCGCGTGAAAATTTTTAAAGTTACATGTGTGTTTTTATTTAAGTTTTTACCCGTAAAATTTGTTGACCGAATTTGTATTATTACGAATATCCTATATATCCTATGAACTTCTTGGAAAATCTCATGAGCGTACAATTGTACTGTAAGTTCATATGTTAATTTGACAAAAGCAGATTACAATTAAAAAATTAACGCCTTTGATAAATGTTGGGCGGTGATTTGGGCTGTTTTTCTTACACAAGCTTTGACAGCTGATCTTATAAATTTGAATTGAAGATCTTAATATCCCTCCAAATACATATCATAATTTTCAACATATAAACATGTGCACTTTTCTTTAAAAAGTGAATAATAAACTACGTGTGGCTGAATGGTTCTATTGATGAATTAATATAATGTAAATCATTAACATTTGACATTTGTATGAAGATCAAGATCATATCATTTAGTCACGTGATATAACATAATAAATTGCTGATATCACACGGAGGCCTGTTGATATCACGAACCTATATATTACTTTTACCTAATTTGTTATAAATCATCTTTTCTTTGTGACACAGTTTTCGTTCAAACGTCCTTTAATTATATCATTTTCAATTAAAACCGATTTTTTCTGTATAGCTTGACGCGCCTTCTCTAATGCGTCAACCGTACGTAAAACTTCTTTTCTTAATTTAAGAATTCCGGTTTTTTTTCTTGCTGATACCATTAACGGATCATCAGCTACATTTTTGTAATGTTGTAATTTTTCTTTAACTACCACATAACGTCTCGCTAAATCTGGGGGTATAACCATATCACATTTTGTTAATACAATTTGAATTTCAACTCCTTTCCTAAATAAGAAAAAAAAATTTTTAATATTTTTTTCTTTATAGGTAAAAATAAATATTCTACTTAACTTATCAAGCACTTCGAGAAATTCTACGTCAGCTAACTTAATTCCTTTATTAAAAGAATATCATTTTTTTTTTAAAAAAAAAAAGATAGACGTAATACAATAATACAATAAAAAAAGGGGGGGTTTTTATATAATAATTTACCATGTCGAGCATCAACAATTACAAAGATTTTTCTAAGCGTCTTTCTGGTTGATATATAAGTTTCCATCTATTCCCACAACAAATAATTTTCTTAAAAAAAATATCGAAAAAAGATAAATAAAAAAACGTTGAATTAACGCACCAATTCTCTCCATTGAGTTTTTTCTTCTTCTTTTACGTAAGCAAACCCATATCCAGGCATATCTACCATATTAAATATTTTACCTGCGGCATAAAAATTAATTTGTCGTGTAAGACCTGGTTTATCCGAAGTTCTTACGACTGTGGTATCTGCCAATGCATTTATCAAAGATGACTTTCCCACATTAGATCGACCTTTAAATTTATAATTTAATTTAGTTTTACGTTATATATGATGTAATTAAGTGTATAATTATTGCTTATTATTTTACCAACGAATGCTACTTCAGAAACTCTTTCTGGAGGAAACGACGAAGGAATTTTTGCTCCAGCAAAGAAAGACAAATGTGGTAACTATATACGATTAAACAAGGAGAATTTTCAATATTTAATCACTTATTGGATAAATTATTTATTTATCAGCAAACCTCCAATTTTTCTTGTTCAACTTTTAAATTTCCTAATTTATTTTCTAATTTTTTTCGTCCAACAATAGCAACTTTAGTAGCGAATCGACTTGTTTTTGTTCTACGTGGTTTTCCTAATCCTAATGCTTCTATTTCTCTAAGTATAGAAGGAGGAGGATTTATTTGTCGAAATTTTTTTCTATTCGATATTTCATGCCGGTTTGATTTTACGAATGCTTTATTAGATATTGTTGATATTCTACGTGGTTCTGCGACTTTTATAACTTTTAATGAGGGGAAACGATTACTTATCATAAAATTATTTATTTGATGAGTTTTTATTAAAATTTTTAAAGGACATAAAGGACGAAACATTTTATATATTTGTAAAAAAGACAGCAAAAAAGAGAATTTTTTAGATAATCTATGATCGACATAATTATTTGCTAAGCCACCGAGTCTAATTTTATAAACATTCAGAAAAATTTTCACTAATTTTTTTTGAATTATCATACAGTATATAAAAAAGTAAGTCAAATGAAAATTTCTCTTCGCTGAAATAATTTATTATATTAATATATATTTTTGTATATAATTTATATAAAGTGGCAAAGAAAGCTAAAGCAAGGTAATAATTTTAAATAAAATAAATAAAATATTATTATCGAGAAAGCTAAATTATTTCAATTCATTTTAGGACAACAATAGTAAGGCTTGTTTCATCAGCTGGCACAGGATATTTCTTTACAAAAATTAGACCACGTCAATTACCAAAATTATCGTTTGTCAAATTCGATCCGAAAGGTATAATTAATATTTTCTTTAAAAAAAATTTATTTAAAAAATTCTGATTACCATTTTTTATTTTATTTTATATACATGAAGTTGGTAGAAGAGTTTTATTTACCGAACAAAAGAATAGATAAATAATTCGATGATTTTTTAATGTTTAATAAAATATATTGATAATAACCTTTTGTTATTGATCAATTAAAATAAGAATTTTAAATATTAAAATATTATCTATTATATTTTTTCGGGGATCAGTAAAAGAGAAAATTTAAAATTTAAACTTTATTTTCCAATTTCGATTGTTCCTCTTTCTTTTTTTGTTTCTCGAGAAGGCGCATTCTTTTCATATAACTTATTATTACAAAAAAAAAATCATTAACACGTATCATTTATAAAAAAAAATTACGTATTTTACTACAAAGGAAAATCGCAAAACTCACTCTTCATATTGACATTTTTCCCATGAGTGTTTTTCATCTTCACATTTCCATGGTAAATACCAAGTTTCAGTACGGCATTTATTTAATGATATCAGTAAATGTGCACAATAATCTCTATATCCTAATGGAAGTTTTGCTTCAGCCATTTCTTTTTGCGTAGCTATCATTTCTATATTCATTTTAATAAATTAAAATTTGTTAAAAATAATTTTTTAAGCAAGGAAAACAAATAAAAAACCTGGAGGTCCATCTGAGGTCATCTTTAATTTTATGCTGATAGAAAAAAAATTTAGCTTTTTGGAACTTATATAATTTTAGGTTTGAATCCTCACGTGATTCAGATATGAAAATAAGGTAAACTTGATCGAATTTTGAATTATTTTTTTAGTTTTTTTTATATTTTATTTGAATAATGCCGAAATATTATTGTGGTAAGTTTATAAAATCCATTTTTTTTCTTTTTTTTTCTTGTCAAGAAAACTTCTAATAACAACGATTCTTTAGATTACTGCGATGTATACCTTACGCACGGTAAATATTTTTTATTTTTTGGTTTTTTCTTTGACTTTAAAAGAAGTGCTAATACTTATTTGCATTTTTGTTAGATTCCTCTTCAGTGAGGAAAGCTCACAATAATGGCAAAAATCATATTATGAACGTAAGGAACTATTATGCTGGTAAGTGATATTTAAAAAAAAACGCTTTTTATCAAATTTTGAATGATAATGATAATCAAACTTTCGTACTATTATTATCACATGGATCAATAGAGTTAGGACAAGATAAAGCACAAGCAATTATTGACGAAATCACAAAGGCATACGAACGAGCTGGACAATCGGGTAAAATTTATTTCTATATGAATAAAATTTTATATAAATCTTGTTAGTAATTTACTTTTCTTTCAGGATTTCCACCTCAATATGGATATGTTCCCGGTATCCCACCAACGCCGTCTCCGGCAGTCCCAGTTGCAGCAGCTCCTCAATTTGGCGGTAAATTACAAATACTTATTTTTTCTTATTTTTTCTTATTTAGTATTAAATGAGTCTCATTTTCTCCATTTTAGCCCCGGCACCAATAATGTTAGGTCGTCCTCCCACTGGAGTCGGTGCACCTGGCACTGTTCCTGCTCCAGGACTTTCAGCACCACCTCCAGGCATAGGATCAGCACCACCAGGAATGGGAGCACCTGGGGTTGGAGGTCCACCTTCAAGTGCACCAATGATTGACACTGAAACATCACCAGGAATTCGACCACCTATGGTTTCACCTACATCGTTGGGTCCAAATTCGACAATGCCTTCAAATCAACAATATGGTACACCAACAGGATACATGAGACCTTCAGGTCAAAGTCCAATTGGAGGATATCCCACAACACAAGGTCCTCCTGGATCTCAAGGTAGTATTCCTCCAGGTAGTGTTCCTCCTGCTTCTGTGCCACCTCCCGGTGGTGCTAATTATCAACAATATCCAGGTGGACATTCTTCACAGCATTATCCACCTGCTAGCAATGGATCAAATTCTTCTAGTTCTTTACCGCCTCAACCTTCAAGAGGTGTTAAAAGACAAATGGAAGAATAAACATATATTTTTCTCATTTATTATTCTTTTTCTTTATTTCAGTACTGACAGATATATGGCAAGTGCATTTTGATTCTTATTATTTAAAAAGTTATATGCTTACAATTTAAATTGCTTTTAAGTCTTTTAACAAATAGAAATTAAAGAAAACTCATTTGTGATGATTTAAATCAGGAAAAATTATTGGATGAAATAAGGTTAGAGAATAAATGATTTTTTTTTCTTCTTATTTCTTATTTATTATATTTAAATTTCATTCATTTTCATTTTTCTTTTTTTAAAAAAAATTAAAGGAAAGAAAGTAATAGTAGTAATAAAGTAGTAATTTTGCATATTATAAACATTAATATATAGATATGTTTTTGTGGATAAATTAATAGATAATAAAAGTTTTAATTTTAAATAAAAAAAAAATTAGTTTATAATACGCATTATATGAATTCTTAAATTACTTATTCATCGCCTATAGTGTATCGTCTCTGGGCAAAATTACGTAATGCCGGCCACAATTAAAACATATGACATTTAACAAAGGATGTGATATTACAAAAACAATTTAAAAATTATCTATTATTCTACTATCCGAAGAAATGTTTAATGAAATAAGAAAGTATATATAAAAAATTACCAGTTGCACAATTAATTATGTAGATTTCTTATTAATGTTTACTTATGGATATAAAGAAAGTCATTTAGCAATATGTCATATTTATTCTTTTATGTTGGGACGTAAAATTTCATCTATCTTTTTTCTGGTCACATTGGCCCATTTATAACGAAAAAAGGAAAATATTTAATAAGATCACTCTGACCATTTATAACTAAAAAAGGAAAATATTGGACAGATCTCGGAAAACTTAGATATCCCAACTTTGAATTTGAAAAAAATACTATTGACAAGCTTATGGATTCAGACAAATCTACTATTACAAATGGTGGGTATTATGTTTGTATTTAGGATCGACGTTGTAACTTTTCTAATTAAATTTATATCGATTTCCGCGCTGCTCAAGTGAAGTTTAACGACTTTACAAAAATCGGGTTCAGAATAGGAAAAATATTGTCGGCTACCTTATTAACTAAAGCACGTAAACCTGCATATAAATTACAAGTTGATTTTGGAGAGATAGGAAAAAAGGTGTCCTCGGCTCAATTGCCTGCTAATTATGAAGTGGACCAAGTAGTGGGAAAGACGGTTGTAGGCGTTGTTAATCTTCCACCACGCCGTATTGCAGGAGTTAAATCGGAAGCTTTAATTGTTGGATTTCCTGATTCACAGGGTAACGTTTTTCTTCTTAATACCCGTTCTCAGGAAACAGCCAATGGCAGTCAATTGGCTGAGTGCGGTCAACATGTCGACGAGATTAATTATGATGACTTTCAAAAGGCTGATATTCGGTCGGCAACAGTCCTATCTGTTGAACCATTAGAAGAAAATGAAGGTGCTTTCCACGTAAAATTAGATGCTGGAAAATACGGAGAAAAATTGGGTTTCTTGAATGATATTGATCAAGAAACAGTAAATACTCTGATTGGTAGTCAAGTAGCAGCGCTTTTAAATTTGGAACCTGAAGATATACCAGACCAGCGATGTAATACTCTTTTACTCACGTTTCATGCCGTTCAGAGTGACAATACTAAGAAAGCTATTCGTCTGCCATTGGGAGTAGATGGAAATGGGCAAGTAGTTAACGGAGAAAAACTTTTCTAAGTTTGAATATAGGATTAGAGCCCCCTCTATAGTCACCCCCTCTATAGTCACATCCCCCCTTATAAGCACATTTACATTGTCCCAGTTACTAATAAGCTTATTAGAAAAAACCCCTCTTTAGTCACGCCATATAATCACACCAATTTTTTTTGGTCCCGAAGGGTGTTGTAGTTTTTAAAACTTCAGATCTTGTTGTAAATTGATATTTTTTTTTTATAAAATGTGAAATTTTTTTTTATTATACATAGCCAATATTTTTATCCTAATTATGTGACCAATTCTTCTCTCGAGCCAGGAGAGACTTATGAATTCTATCGTTCAGGAGGACCTGGCTTCAAGCTTATAAATGAAGAAAATTATCCTGAATCAATTAAAACTTTCTTATCTGATGAGCTTTGTTATATTATTAAAATATTATCAGAAGGAAAGTATTATGTTCTTTTAGAAATATGGTCTGCAAATTCGATTAAAGCGCTTACCATTGTACAAAAAAATTATAAATATTATGGAATTGATGTTTGTTCAAGAAGCAACCCAAAATTTTGTAGAGAATCATATCTAATAAGGCCAAAGTTAAATTAATATCATTTTTGAACTTAATTCTTCTTTCGAGGCTTTCAACATAAATGAAAAGGTTTTAATTGTCTTGCCCTTCAACTTGTTTGGAAATTTGGGAAACCCTAAAAAAATATTAGAGAGGCTCTTTATACCTTGTCAAGATTTTATTATAAGTTATTATAAAATAAATCGTACTTCATACTTAGCAAAAGAAGAATATTATAAGAATTGTGAATACAAAACTTAAATTACACGAATACTATAATTCGGAGTATATCGAGTATATCGAACGTTCATGAACTGGTGAAACTCCTTTTTAAAATCAAACTCATCTAATCAACCACCAGACGCGAGCCGCAGTGGATGAAAATCAAATTTGTGTAACCATAATCGTAATTCGTGTTTTACAAGCTATTTTTTTTTTTTTTTTAAAGATCTTTAGATCTTTAATAAGTAATTATTAAATCTATTAATTCTCGTTCATTCGATGCTTTAAAAAATTTTCTTACGCATTCACTACGCGTAGATTAATTTTTCTTTACTAATAATAATGGACACATTTTAACTCGGTTTAATAATGAATAAGTTTTCCAATTAATCAAATTGATAAATTGGTAGATAATATTTTATAATATAATAAATACTTATAATTATTTATCATCTAATTTATAATTTAAATACAATTTATCTGGGTCTATTAATGAAGTTACTTCTTTTCTATCCTAACCTGCACTAAATAATAATAAGTTCCATTGATTCTGAAATTATAGTCTCCTATGCAAAGCATTATCGAGGGTCTCATAAAATTCTTGATTTAATTCCGGTTCTATTTCGTAATATCCTATGAAAAGAAATAATTTAGTTTAACTTCAACCATTAAATTAACAAAAAAGAAAGTATAAATTTACCCCATTTTGACAATATTTCTACCAATTCTTTTATATTAATCCACCAAGCTTTTTTACCCTTACGATACTTCATATCTGTCTCTGATAATAAGTCAGCAACCGGCTAATAATAAAAATAATCAGTAAATAAACATACAATATAATTTTTAAGAAAAATACATAGTACAGATATATCATTTGGTCTTACCGTGAATATAACTTGCGCACCATCAATTCCAATAACGGCAGCGGAATCTTTTGTATTTGTGTATATGCTCGGAAATACTACTTTTTCTGATGATGAAGGATGTGATGTATATTGTTCCAAAAATTTTACACATCTTACAGCAAGTCTAGTAGCACGTATACGATCAGTTGGAGATGGTGCACCACCTTGTTGAATATGACCCAATACACTGGTTCTTGAATCAAAAAGTCCACGGCCCTCCGATTTAAAAATGTTTGCAATAACATCAGTTGTGTATGTTTCAGAAGCGCATTCATTCCTTAGAACTAATCTTCCCGAACTTGTTCCTTGCTTGTCTTCTCCATATCTACGAATTAAATGGTTAATGTCTAACTGAAGTTTCTTGAGAGAAACGCCTTCTTCAGGGGTATATACGTTTGTAGCACCAACCTAAATAGGAGTTCTTTTAATAAAAGGAAACGACAATAATTTTTACAACATAAATATATATTAATGTTTTAACATACTGCAAGTCCAGCCAAAACCGCTAAATAGCCACTTTGACCACCTTGAACTTCAACGACAAACACACGTCTTCTTGATGCAGATGCAGATTGTTTAATTGCATCACAACTTTCAACAATAGCATTTAAACTAGTATCGCTTCCTAAAGAGAAATCTGTTCCGGGTACATTATTTGAAATAGTAGCAGGCAAACACACCATAGGTATGCAAAATGCCGGATACTGATTTCTATAATTATTTAATTCAACGAGTGAAGAATATGCTTCAAATCCACCAATTAAAAGTAAAGAATTTATTCTATGCTTTTGCAATTGATATGCGATCATTCCTATATCAAGATCAGATACAATTATTTTATGTGTACCCAATTCAGAACCTCCTTTAGCGGCCCATCCATCGACATCAAGCCATGAAAGTTCGCGCAAATTATCTTGCAAAAGACCATCGAAGCCATTGTATACAGCAACTGGCGTGTGACCATGATTAAGTGAGTAACGAACTACTGCTCTTGTAGCTGGATTCATACCACCAGCTGGTGCGCCAATATGGAGAATCCCTATTCGAAGACACTATCAAAAAAAAAAAAATAAAGGAAAATTATCATTCTAGACAAATCATATTCTTTTTTTTATGTTGGTTTAATACAAACTTTATTTTTCGAAAGAGTTTCATCATTCACAATTGTCGTTTCTATATAGGCTGCATAATCCTCAGAAAATTCAGGATCACGCAATTCCATTGCGCGCCTAAAATCCTTTCTTGAAATAGCCTCAGCAACTTGACGTGTCTATTTTATGTATAACAAGGTTAATAAAACACCTTAAAAACCATACAACCCATCAATATAAACTGACCAATCCAACGGCTTTCATTAATGGTTCACATGTAATTTTGTTTTGTCGAACTCCGATCATAGGTGATGGTGTATCTGATGTTGCTCTTAAAACAGCATGTACAGCTTCAACACCTTGAAGCGTCGCCTATTTTAATATAAAACGTGTAAAAATATTTAAATTATTTAATAAATCGCTACGTATCACAGGTGAAAATGGACCTACCAGGTTTCTATCAAAAGAACATGGTTTACCTCCACGCTGTGTATGACCCAGTGTAGTGACCCTTGTATCAAGTTTCATACGATTGCTCAAAAGTTCCTTAATGTAATCAGCTTTTATTGGTTTGAGATTTTTATCAATAGCACCCTCAGCTACAATAACAATTGTTTTACGTTTACCAAGTTTACGATGCTATTTAATGAAATATAAAATATGATGATTGTTGCTTTTGTTAACGTTATTTATAGTAAATTATATGAATGATCTTACTTTATTTAGAATTTCACACATTTCACTCTCCCAATCGTCAGAAGCTGGAGGTCGTTCAGGTATAAAAACAAAATCAGCACCAGTACTTTTTAATCAATTTGGATCAAGGGAAAAGAAAAAAAATTAGTATAAATAATACAAAATATCAGGAAATATTTTAAAAATCGTATAATTGTATACCTAACTGCTGCCATCAATGCAAGCCAACCACAATTTCTTCCCATAACTTCAATAACGAAAGCACGAGAGTGACTTAAAGCTGTGGCTGATATACTATCGACAGCCTCACAAATTCTGTGCAATGAACTTACAGCACCAATAGTAATATCTGTTGATGACATATCGTTATCAATGGATCCCACAAGACCAACAACTGTGAGATGTTTGTGTGGTGCCGCTTCTTCAGCTGTTATCCTTCCTATAAATTAGAAAATTTTTTTTAATGTATTTGGAATTTTTTTTTTTTCAATACATAACATTTTAATGAAAAATAATATTAAATCAAAATTGAATAATAGTTTTTTTATTCGAAATTATACCTTCTTTTATTAATTCATCTAATAATCCAGGCCACTCTGACCTCAAAACATCCGCTCCAGTTAGAGAACCATCTCCTCCACAGACAATTAAAGCATCAATTCCATTTTTAACCATGTTATATGCAGAATTTAATCTGCCTTCACGTTCACGAAAAGCTTTACAACGCGCAGAACCAATAAGTGTACCACCCTAGAACATTAATCTCATTTAATTTAATATTCAATTGATTTATTCAACACATATTTTTTAACTTACAATAGCAAGGTAACCTCTAACATCAGCCCAACCAAATTTTTTAATCATATCGCCACCATTTACCAGACCTGTATAATTTTAATTAATATTACATAGTATTTATTGCTGATTTTAATTTTGAAAATTTTAAAGTACTTTACCTTCATAACCTTCATAAATAGCATAAACATCACAACCACGCGAAATTGCTACCCTTACTACTGCTCTTACTGCAGCATTCATACCCGGTGAATCACCTCCACTAGTCAACATACCAATTCTTTTTTTTTTAGTTTTCGGTTCTGTTGATATATTACTACTAGAAATATCCTGTTGTTTAATAGGGGATATTGGTTTGATTGGATAAATTGATTTACTAATTGGAATTGGTTTATTGGTAAAAGTGATCAAATTGTTAAGTGGATCATGAGTATAAATTTCAGTATGAACTAAATCTGCTGAAAGTGGCGCTACTAATGAATCAGACTCATTAGGATAAGTATATTTTTGATATTTAAGATTGATGGATTCTAAAATTGATTCAACATCCTTGATTTGATCGGGAAAAAAATAAAGGTTTAATATAAACTTTTGAATAAAAATATACCATATTTTATGACCCATAGTACCATTACGTGTAATAAATTCCCCCCAAAAAATTCCAAATACTCTAATACAAGAATACGCGAGGTATTAATGAATCTTGTACCTCCGTGTAATGTACTCAGACACAGGCATAATCCTCTGAAATTTGCATGATTCATGGGGTAATATGGCCCACAAAATACGGTAACACTTAAATTTGAATAACAATGCAATCACTATTTATATATCATACCACAATATTTTTTGTCGCAGAAACTAATGAAGATTGCTCTAGTCTCCAGTCCTTTTCTTCTGGTAAAGGCTCTTTTTCATTCGCGTTTGTTGTTAACACAATTCTTATCGTGATATCTTGAGTAGGAGGTTTACCAAATAAATGTAACACTTTTTCTTCTCGTGGTAAAAACTGAGACACTTCATTCGACAGGACTCGTGAACCCACTTGTGAAATTGGTTGATAACCAAAAAGACTATAAAATTGAACAGTGCTCTCATATTTTTCTACTGAAGAAGTGGTTAACACTATATGAGATAAACCTTCAATTACAGACATTTTTATAGCTTCTTGGTAATTTTAGATACGGTACTATCTGCTATACACATCGTTTATTTTTTTACGGCTAAATATCTGCGTAATTCAATGATAGTGGTGATCGCATCAGAGATTTTAAAAATCATGAGATAATTATAAATGGTAACAATATTAGTTGATCTTGCATATAGCTAGATAACGCGCGTTAACTTTTTTTTTTTTTTAAAGATGCATATAAAATGTTCGAGAATAATCCTATAAACAGGTACCGGGAAAATTCAAAAATTTCTGGTTAATTTCAATGTTCACGTCTTTTAATTTCGTTTGTTTAAATTATCTGTATTGTTAATATAATTTCTTAACTTGCAGATGAAACATTCTTTTTGCACATGAAATTCAGTGGTTATGAAAAATTATCGACAATAACAAGTTTTTTATTTGATTAATTTGTAGAATAAGTAATAATCATTTACAGATGAATGGATAAATAAAAATATTTCAGACATAACATATCAGAACAACAACATACGATCTTTTATCAATATAGTTATCAATATATTGATCGCCTTATTTAATAGCATATCGAATGTTACTGATTAGTACTGATTAGAAACCAATAAAATCATTTTCACAATTTATTTCTAAATTTATTTGATAGTGACATCAAAAACTTCATTACTTCATTAGACTGACTATCCCTGTAATAACGTACAGAGTCAACGTCAATCAACTGCCTTATCTGATTCTCGAATATTAAGGTTTTTCTGTGATCATCCCTCACACATAAAATATCGTTTTTTTTTTATAAAAAAAAAATTTGAAATGGGAGGAACTCAGAGTACAGCAGCTAAAGGAAATGGATATCATATATTACGAGTATTTATTAAATAATTCAATTTATTTAATTAGAAAATTCAATTTCAATATTAATTTGGTCAATTTATATTTATAAATAAGGTACAAGAGAACTCACCTGCTCATACTGCAGGAATAGAACCATTCTTTGATTATATTGTTGGAATTAACGGAATTCAATTGGTATGATTTAATAATATAATAGAATTAATAGAATTTTTCATTTTTATTTTTATTGAATAATTAATATAGAATAATTATTTTTTGAAAGAATATTGATAGTCCATTCTTTCAAGAACAATTATCACAATATATCGGTAAAGAAGCTATATTATTGATTTATTCTACAAAAGAACAAGAATTTAGAGGTATATTAAATATTTTTATTAAAAAATTTAAAAATTTAATAATAAATTCATTGAATTGATCTATTATTTATTTGAATAATAAAATAGAGGTGAAATTAATTCCAAATAGAGATTGGACAAGTAATCCTCAAGATGGATTAATTGGTAAGAATTATAAGAAACAACGCATTTTTTTTTGTAAAAAAAAAGACCAAATTTTTAATTGATTTGGTTGAAAATAGGTTGTAGTATTCGATATTGTTCATATGAGGTAACTAATATTTTTGTATTAATAAATTATAATAATTTTTCCAATCTAAGTTTTTTTTTCCCTATCTAACAATATTATATAGAGTATTAATGAACATGTATGGCATATTTTGGATCTTGCTCCGGATAGTCCAGCAGAAATGGCCGGTTTGGTATAGAGAGATTTTTTTTTTTTGTTCACTTTCTCTTTATTAATTAGAAATATAGATTTTTTTTCTAAAGTTATAATTTATATTTAAAGGTTCCATTAACAGATTATGTGATCGGAACCCCACATGCTACTTTACGTAGTGAAACAGATTTTTATGATTTAATTGAAGAATATTTAGGAAAATCTCTTCGACTTTATGTATATAATGCTGATTATGATGTTTGTAGAGAGGTATGATAATAATATTAATGAAATATTCAATAATTCTGAAAGGTTTATGTTCATTAATTTATTATTATTATTATTAAAAAGGTTATAATCGTTCCAAATCGTGAATGGGGTGGTGAAGGATCTTTAGGTTGTGGAGTTGGTTATGGGTAAATATGACTTACCAATATAATGATGGGTTTAGTTGGATATACACAGTGAAATTCAATAAACCGGATCTTCGATAATTCAGATCATAAGTAAAATATGAGTTGAGTTCTGGAACGGATTATTATATCTGTTTTCGATCCAGATTTCTGGACTTATATCGAATTTCACTGTGTATTTTTTAACTTACAATGTTTTGGACAAGGTTCTGGATGTAAGAAAAAGTGAATCCTATCCAAAACCAATTGCTCAAAATTTGTTCAAAACTGTCAAATTAATTGATACTAATATTAATAATATTCTCCATCTATACCTAGATATCTTCATAGAATACCAAAAACAAACAAATTTAAATCACATGAACAAGAATTTACATTACCATGGAATACTTTAGCTCATCAAGTACCTCCTACTAATTCACAATATCAACATTATAATCCTGAAAATGATACTATAACACCAACATTATATCATGTTGAAAATATTAATAATGAACAAAATGTTGAATTTTTTACTCCTGCAAATCTTCAGATGATTACAGATCCATCGACATCATCAACTATTAAGAATAAGAGCAGTGAAAATGAAAATATAATAACATTAGGAAACTATTCCGATGAAAATAATAAAACAATCCCTCATAATATAAATGAAAAGAATAATAATGATAAAGAAATCAATGAAAAAGATGTTGAAGAAGAAGAAATTATTAATGAAAAACAAGAATATTATAATAATGATATCATTAATAATGGTAATAATAATAATATAAAACAATAATTTTCTTTTAACATATTTTTTAGTAAATTTTTTTTTTTAAAAAAAATCAGTAGTTTTATACTAAAATATATATATAATAATAATTATTAGTTTAATATATTTTGGAAATTTTTTTTTTTTTTTCCCCGGGGATTTTGTTTTATAAAATGATTAATAAACAGTTTTTTTTTTTGCAATGAAATTTTATAATTTATAATTTAATTTTATTTTTTACTGTATCTAATAATATTGTTATATTTATCATATATATTTATACATGTTTTCACTGTACCTAATTATATTGTTATTTTTATTGTATATATTTATATTAATTATATATTTTTATTGTATCTAATTATATAGTTATTTTATCATTTATATTTTATACATGAATATATATATATATATATATATTCTTTAAAAAAAAAACAAATTACCATCAAATATTTATACAAACAATATATATACAGTATATACAGTATATATAAGATAAAATAGATTAAATATCCAACAGATCATGTAATAGAATTTTAATCCAACAATCAAATTAATCAAATGGTCCAAAATATAATTGATACAAGTAGCAGTTGTAAGTAAAATGTTAAAAAGTAATGTTTGTTAAAAGTAATGTTATTTGATTTTTGTATAATATGTGTGTATACAACTTGTAAATTACAATGAAAAATATTTTATATATATATAAAAAAAAGAAGAATTTACTCATTAATTACATATTTTAATTTAAACCTTCCATTCCCAAACTTGTTTAATCCATAACTCCAATTTTACTTGTCTTTGTGATGATAATTGAATAAATGGATGATCAAGCATTTGCTTAGGTGTAGGTCGTTTTTCTCCATCTTTTTCCAAACTATATATATATATAAAAAAAAGAAAAAGATTTAATTAGTAACTTGAAAAAAAAAGTAAGTAATTAAATGTTTTAAAAAAATTCCCATACCAAATCTTTAAGAAATCTTTAAGTTCTTCGCTCCATTGATATTCGTCAGAAAGTGTAGGAGCGGGTAAGTTTGCAATATATGTAACTAATTCAATCGGAGACAAAAAGGAAGGAAATGGAAATCGATTCTGTGCAACTTCCATTATCGTTAATCCTAAAGACCATACATCAGCAGATACCTTATATGGTAAACCTAGAATTCGTTCTGGCTATATATTTAATTAACAATTGAGTTGAACAAAAGATTTCACAATGTATAAGATTCAACCAATAATTTGTTACTTACGGCCATATAATAACTAGTTCCTAGAAATGTATCTGCTACTGAAGAAACTAATTCACCCGATACTCCAAAATCGCAAATTTTTATCTCTCCTTTTTTAGTTACCAAGATATTTGACGGTTTTATATCTATAAAAAGAAAAAAGTAAATATTTAACCATATGTTATATATTTGAATTATAATTATATATAAAATTCCAACCTCTATGAATGATTTGTTGACTATAGAGGTATACCAATCCTTTAAGAACCTAATGTAAATTTACAGATAAATTACTAGTTGCATTTAAATTTCGAATAAAAATTGATTGAAAAAACTTACTGATTCGGCAATTTTGCCAAGGACTTTTTCACCGATTCTTCCTTGTCTTTTGCTCACATTTTTATAAATGGCATCTAAACTACCACCCTCACAATATTCCATGAAAATTGCAATTGATGAATCACTATCTTCCAAAATAGCACCATAATATGACACAATATTTGGTGAATGACATGTACGAAGAAATTGAAGTTCACGAAGAATTTGCTTATATATTTTTGGGTCTAGGACAACATTGATTTTCTAAATAAATGTTTATATAAAGTAAAAATGAATGTAATGACAAATTATTAATTATTTCAATGATTTCAACTATTTCATTCAACGCACCTTTTTTGCCATTATGTGGCCGGTTGATATATTTTCTACTTTGGAAACTGTCCCACCAGCACCTTCACCCAACCTAGACAATTCTCTAAAATTAGCAGGGTTTATTTCTTCACCATCTGGAGCAGTAACTTTAACAGATTCGTCATGAAAAAAATCTTTACTGTCGTCTTCTAGTGGTTGTGGAGTTATCCTTCCCATCACAGAGATAAGTTCATTAGTCTGTTGTTGATGAGTCGTGCTAGATCCATTTGAATTTGATATAGGGACAATAAGTGGAGAAAGAGAAGACGGAGCTGAAGAACTGGGGGTAAGGGAATTGGTAGGGATGTTGAGACGACCTGGGAGATTGTTGCGTGCAGTACGTTTGCTAGCTGGAATAGCTGGAACTGACGCCATTGTTTAATGTTTTGACTTTACCGAATAATTATAAAAATATATTCACAATATTATATATAACTTTAAAAGTTATGTCAGGGAATAAATTCGTTTTTTATAGAACAAGAGACAGTTTCGATATTCCTTTGATTACTGTCATAAGAAATAAGTTTAAAAATTTCTGGAAATTCATTGTGTAATAAAAAATATGTTGTGCATCCGAAATTCTTGAAATGTGTGACTGCATAGTGACAGCACTGACAACTTATTGTCAATTAAATTTGGAACAGAGGTTGATATAATTCACGTGAGTGATCTCTATGTGCAAGGGCTAAGGCTAAAATAGAGAGAGGAATCCTCTTTAGGCAATGTTAGATGTATCAAATGGTATAAATGGTTTGGGCGTGATTGTAATACCTAACCGCAACACATGCATTTTCACACGTCGCGCAGTTTCACACTCGCACTTGTAAAATTAATTATCACACGTAAAAATAGAAAAACGGTACTGTATAATTTTAATTATTAATAAAGAAAAAATCGTTCTATTTTTTTTTTATTGATATTATGTACAAAACCCCATTAATCATAAAAAATGTATAATCTTTATTTCTATACAAGATTATATTTTTTTTTTCTCTAATCTAATTCCGTTTTATCTGCACTCCTTTTTTTTTTTTTTTGGTAATGAATAATTAATTATTAGGTAATAATACGATGGTATATTAAAATGGACTGATACTTTTGGGATTATTGATTTGAATTATTTGAGATAAAATAAAAAAAAAAAAATTAGATTGATTTTAAAAAATTATATCTGGAAATACAGTTAATAAATAAATGATGATAAAAAAATTATTATTTTTTTTTTTAATAAAAAAAAAAAGAATATAATTTTTTTTTTAATGTAAAATAAATGAATAAAAATAAGAAAAACTCAAACGAACCCTAAATAAAAATTAAAATAAAAAAGTGACCAAAAAAAAAAGAAATGAAATTGGAAATGCATATATATATATTTACACTATACATAAAAGAAAATGTCTAAAATGATAAGTACTTTTTTTTTAAAAAATAATGCCGAAACTATAAACTAAACCTCAAAAAAGCAGTTAAATGTAAATAATAATAAATAATACTAAATATACATTTAATAAATATGATAAGTTTTGTAATAATCAAGTAAAAAACCAAATTTTGTTGTACCTTCACTTATATTAAATATATAATCAATCGCGATAAATAAAAGAGTAATTAATAAGACTTTAAAAACGAACAAAACCCAAGATTGTTTGGTTAAAGATTGATGATTTTTAGATGATTCTCCCACCGCGTTGTTGTTATTGATACTGTTCGTCGCCTTTAATATTAACAAATAAGTATAGAGAGTAGAAATGGGAAGAGAAAATGGATTATGTAATTTTTTATGGTAATTGATTGATGGTGATTGGTGAAATATATCAAAAATTTGATCAATTTAATCGCCTTTTCTCCAAAATAATCATTTAATTTAATATATTAATTATGATCTATTACCGTGCTGTTCCTCTTCGAATTTCTTTTCTTAACAGTAATCCATCCTTCATCGGTATCTTTCTTTGGCCTTGGTACGGGCTGATTATTACTACTATTAATTTCATTAGACTCAATAGTATATGACTGTAAAGGTTCAATAGCGCTTTTACGTTTTTGTTTAGTATTTTGTGGTTCAACAACGTTTGATGTTGATGTAACATCATTTGATGCATCCCCATTTGTCATTGCTAACGATTTAGACGAAAATTTGGGAGATCGCGAAGTTATAGACGTAGGTGACGTAGGTGACGCTGGTGAAATAGGTGAAGTGGATGTTGACCCCAATTCTTTACACTTTTTCTCTAACTCATGCGCTTTTCTTAATGATTCAGCTTTTTCGGTTTTTAATTTTCCATTCTCAGCTCTCAATTTTTCAACATCTGACATTAATTTATCTACACTACGAGCTATAAAAAGAGGAAATAAAAGGAAATTAATATAACAAATCGAAAATGCGAATATAAAAAAAAAAATTAAATATGATGAATTATATACCTTTAGGGCTTAACTCGGCAACTTGTTTTTGTAGCATGGAGTTATTATTTTCGAGTTGTTTTAGTTGTTCTAAATACGGGGAGGGGGTAGAAAAGAAAGAATAGAGAAGATTAAAAAGTAATCTCTGAAAAATACGTCGATAGACACGTCAATAGACACGTCGAAAGACACTTCGAAAGAAGATTTTTTCGAGATACCTCGAGAGATACCTCGAGAGATACTTCAAAGAAATACCTCAAAAAATGTTTCGAGAGATACCTTCAAAGAAATACCTCGAAAGATACTTTCAGAAAATTGATTATATAATAATATACATACCTAATTTCTGAGTTAAAGTATTATTACGTTTCTTTATCCAATCTTCTGCATCTTTAGCAGCTTTCAATTCAGCTTTAGTACTAGCTAATTCACTTTTCAAATTTTCCACGGATTGGAATTCGGATTTGAATTGCGCAAGATTTTCACTTAAAGAATTATATTGTTCTTTTGGAACCATATTAGATAATGAATTCTTTTGTTGTTGAATCGTATTTTCTTTAGATTCAAGTTTTAAACGTAAATCTTTTATAGCATTACTTTGATTATCTAAATCATTTTTAATATTATGTATATTATGTACAGCACTTCCTAATTCAGATTTAACATTTTCAAGTTCACGTAAAGCTTCATTACGTTGATCAGTAACAGATTGTAATTCTAAATTTGCAAGATTTAAAGTAGAATCACGATTTGAAAGATCATCATTAAGTTTTTTAATTTGAAAAATCAATAAATCATTTTCTTGTTGAATATTTTTCAAACGATCTTGAACTGATTTATCAACAGAATTTTCAGTTTTAGCGATTTCAACTTCTTCTTGTGATTTAATTAAATCCGAAGTTAATTGATTGATTTTATTTTCATATTCCTCTTTTGTTAAATTAAGTTGATCAAGTAATTTTTCATAATCAGTATTTTGTTTTTCTCTTTCTTCAAGATGTTTTTTAAGAAGATCAGATTCTTTAATTAAATCAGATTTAAGTTGATTAATTAAAACAACTTTATCAGAATTTTCTTTAATAATTTTTTCAGATTCTTCATTAATAGATTTTAAACGAGATTTAACATTATCAAGTTCTTCTTGAATAGATTGATTAGATTTCATATATTTTTCAGTTTCACTTTTACTTGAAGTTAAATCATTATTTAATTGTTGAATATTAGAAAGAAGTTGATCCTTTTGAGCTTTTAATTCATTAATTTCATGTTTATTAACTTCCAAAGCAACACGAGATTCCGATTGATATTTATTAACAGAATCTTGAGCTTCTTGTTTATTAATAGAAAGTTCTTTTGTTAAATTTTCTACGCAAGATTTTTGATCTTGAAGTTCAATTTTAATTTTTTCCAATTCAGATTTTTCATTAATAATTTCTTGTTTAGAATTTGATAAATCAGATTCAAGTTGATTAATAGTAGAAACTTTTTGATTTAAATCATTTTTTAATTGTTCCAATTCTTTTTCTTTTTCAGTTAAAGCATCATTTAATTGTTTTTCTTTCTCAGCCAAAGCGTCATTTAATTCTTTTTCTTTCTCAGCCAAAGCGTCTTTTAATTCTTTTTCTTTAACGTCATTAACGATATCACGTGATTGCTGATCGGATTTAACGTCATCAACAGTATCATCATCGACAACAACATTATTAGTATCTTTATTATTATTAAGATTATTAATATCATTAGTTAATTTTTCAACTTGACTTAATAAATCTTTATTAAGTTTTTCAAGTTCCAATTTTTGTTGACGTTCAACTTCTTTATCTAATCTAATTTTATCCAATTCATCTTTTAATTTTTGAACCGATTTTTCACCATCATGTTGAGTTTCATCAGGTAAAGCAAAACTTTTTCGATTTTTAATGTTCATGTTCATAATACTATTTCTTTTATTATTAACAGTATTATTATTATTATTATTATTATTATCATCGATGACGATGCTATTTCTGTCTTTCTTTCGGAGACTTTTCATTTTTGATAATAAACTATTACTTTTATTATCTCCGTTTTCGGTATTGGAACCGTTACTCGAAGTTTTACCTAAAGGTTTCATGATTTTTTTTTAAAGGTACAAGATTAAAATAGGGAATATATTTAGGGTTTTCTTTTTTTTTTTAGAAAAAAAGAAAAATAACAAGGAAAAGAAAGCGTTATTTAAATAGTAAAAAGAAAATATATATTACAATATAAACAATATTTGTCCAGAATGTCTATGCGACTTATGCGGGGAGGAGATTAATGAGATTAATGGGAAATCTGGGAAACAGTTGAATTATTTTACCTATTATGTATTTTATATAATTTATATTACCATTATTGTAAATATAAAGTAGTATAAAATTGATTAAGTACATAAAGTACATACGTAAATAAACTATTTAAAGTATTAGTTTATTTTAATATTGTAACATTTAGTTGTTAAAAAAAAAAAAAAATGTTGCATGAACATCCATCCTTTCTTTTTTTTTCTTTTTTTTTTTTTCTTCTCCAAGAAATCCTTGGCCTCCCTTCTAAATAGAGTTAATTATGTATCATGCACACATGCTTTTGTTTTACAAGAAAAGTTTTATTATATAAACGTAATTTTTATAATAATATTATTTATTTTAAATATTGTTGATAATAAATATCTATTATTTATTTATTTATTATTATTTATTATTTACTTACTTTATTATGTATATTATGAGGAGAAATGTAAAAAGAATGAGGAGAGGGAGAAAATGATCGAATTTTGATATATCTCTCTTTCTCGGAATAATTTTAAAATAAAATATAATAAAAAAAAAAAAAATGCAAATGATCAAATTCATTCTAATAGTATGTAATGAAAAAAAAAAACTAAAAAATTTCAAACAGATTCTGAAACGATAATAATTGAAATTGTTCGATTTTAAAAAATAACCTCTTTTGGATTAAATAAAAAATATGTAATTTTTCATTCCGCATCAAAAGAAAAAATAATAATTTACAATGATTGTTAGAAGAAAATAAAAAAAATATTTTTTTAAATTACTTTTTATTATTACACAACAAAATATATCATTTATCCTATATAAAGGAATTATTAATAAATTTATTTTTTTTGTAAATATTAAATTATTACAATTTTATATATATATATATATATATATAAAAGAAGCGAGATTATTAAAGTTAGATTTACGATACATTAAAACAAATATTCTTCCTTTCTTCTTTTACCACCGATTCTCAATTGCAGATATGAAATCATTTTTCTTACGTTTCAAAAAAATCAAGTATAGAATCAGGTTTAAAATCTTGTTTATAAACTAGTTTATTCAAGGTCTAAACTCAGTTTAAACTTAGTTTGAACGCATTTACTTCTGATACACTTTATTTGTTACCCCTCTTTTTTCCATTATACATCCATTATATATATTATATAATCATAATAAACATATTATATATATATATATATAACATAATAACATATATAACATAATAACGTATCATTTATATATATATAACATAATAACATATATTCTTGTATATAACATGCCATATATATATTATATACCTCTCGAACTCGAACCATCAATTAAACTTAATATTGGTGTTACGTTAAACATTCCTTACCACGTTTCCTATAATGAAAAGGAAATTGTTGGGATTTTTTGGTAAAAAAAGATTTCATAATACTGTAATTTCTAAAAATAAATTCTACCATAATCAATTCTTCTAACTCTCTCATTTAAAAAATGGGTATTATTATTATTATTATTATTCCCTCCACATCAAGATAATAATTTTTACAATTAATTACGAGAATAGAAAATTAAAATTAAATGAAATTAACTAAAAAGGAATGACATAAAAAAGAATTTTGGTTACACCACATTACTATAAAAATTATCCATCTATTTTTAAAAAAAATTTGTAGGTAAATAAATAGAGAAGAGTAAAAGATAATATCTATCTAATAATCTTTTGATAATTTTATCTATTTCATATGATTAATTATAGATTATTAAAAATAAAATAAATAAAATGCAAGATACGTGGTAAGATTTTGTTTGTTCTCGGACCCTTCCACAATAAATTTTCTAATGGAGAATCAAATTACATCAAAAAAAAAAAAAATTTTTTTTTTTTTTTTTTTTTTTTTTTAACCTTTGCACATCTTTGTTCGGTGAAAATAATTTCTAATAATCACAAAAGGATCAACCCGTTTGTTTTAAACAAATCAATCAACTCAAATCAGGGAATTTTTTATATACCGTTATTAAATCCTTCGGATATTCGGTAATTACATTATCATTAAAAGTTAAAGATCGTTACGACCCACCTAACAAAATAATTTTAGGTTTTTTCCCGTGTCATACTTGTGTCACGCGTCAATTCTTACATTAAACCCTTTTATATGTTGGTTGATTATGCATTCTGTATAGAAATTAACCCTTTCGTTTTACTCATTTAAAAAAAAAAATGCATTTTTAATGTATAGATTATGTACGATAAACAACAATAAATAGGACAATCTAACTAGGTAAAAATCTTCGTATAAGATTAATTTTAGTAAATTACTCTTTCGGATATATCTTCCGTGAAAGAAAAGAAAAAAAGAAACTTTTACGCCCTGAAATTTTTTTTTTTTTTTTTTTTTTTTTTTTTTTTTTTTTTT